AGAAAAAAAGGAAAAAAGAGCGTGTTGTTCGATCAATGTCGTCGTCATCCTTGGTCAGTGTAGAGGCATGGTCAAAAAGGTCACAGTTTTCTTTTTCAATAATTAAAGCTTTGTCAAAACCAAACCGGATGTTTTCACCTGAAAAATTGAAGCACACACATCAATCTGTCAAAAAACTCTAGAATAACCGTTATGCCTTATACACGACCTAATCTGAGGAATAGGTGTCAGGGTTCCCCAATTTCGTCTTCTAATTATATTACTTCTAGTTGTCCAGGTTCTGTGATTTGACTCTCTGTGCTCCTCTTCTAGATAATAAGTGTTTTTCCACCCCATGCACTTACACTCAATTCAGCTGGAGCACCGATGAGGCTGCTGTCGCCTACCCGACAAAATATCAGACCGCTAGATATAGTAAAGGGTGGCGAAAAATTACGTGCGCGTGATATTTCGCTTTGTTTCAAACATTATATATGGAAAAGTCACAGAAAAGCAATGGAAAGAGAAAGATCACCTTTAAACTTAACCCGTAAGAGAATGAGAACGGACTACCAACACCCGACGTGTGAGGAGAGCTGTTAAGAGGAATGACCAAAAAGATGACCTGAGCTCGAGTAAGAGTGCCAAACAGAACCGAAATTCTCGAAGATCTGTTCAGATGACAGCAAAAATAGAGTGCAGAATGGACTTCATCGTATATTGAACGGGCAGTCTCCCACCGTCCAAGAAAGATCGGAAGAAAAGACATAAGATAGACGTTCGCCGTTCACGTACCACAAAACCCTCAGAATCACCTTTACCCTTTACACCAGTTAGTAGTGACATCCGTGAATGGAAATTACCCGCAGGAATTTCGTTCCTGGAAATTTGATGATTTGAGGCTGGATCAGTGCTTCGGGCAAGGCCTCCACAGGTTTTTATGGATAAAAGCGCGGAAATCAATGGAAGATCTATCAAGAAGGGATCCTTGAGAAAGCTGTTGCCCCTGGAAGCAGAATCATAACAATTCTGTCTTTCTACAGGAATGCGCTCGGGCCTATGGACCAATACACGACCACTTCTTCGAGACCAGTATCGGCTGTTTTGTGGCGATGGATTCGTGGTCTGCTCACAGTCCGAATTCGGATCCATTAGACTTCTCTGTTTGGGGTTTATTGAAGAGCTACTGAAGAATCGAACTGCAAAAAGTAGATGATTCTGAAAAGAACTGTCTAAAATTTGGAGTAAAACATACATCGAACATCTCCGCCGTGTTGGAACCGCGAGCTCCTAAGTTTCGTGACAGTTATGTAAACAACACACTATTCGTAATTAACCATTTATTTGCATCTTTATACATTATGATGATTGGCAATGAGCCAATCATCATGTTGTATACATACAAATACATATACATACAAAAGGTGCTAGAATCTACTACTGTAGATTCTAGGCTTCAACCAAGCTAGGGAACGGGGACTGTCCGCAATTCACCTGCCATCTTGTACGATTGAACCATCTTCTCGCCGAGGATGTTCAAACGTACACTTCCTTCTGAACACAGAAGGGCGACCATCGCGTGAGCCACGCTTAGGCCAACGTGCATCTGTAGTCGTCTTGTACGAACTACTGCACAACTGCTTTCCACACGGGGAAAGATCCACTCTTCAACTGGTGTGAAGAGAACGAAGCTCGCATCGGGCGACGCTTCGGAGTCAGGGGGAGCCCTCTAGCACGTAGAGTTAATCACCTAGTCGAGGGAGACCGATCTGCTCACATCCCGTGAGCTCGGCAAAACTCCAGACTGACTGATCAGCTCGATCAGAAGACGGATCGACAGTAGATGGGGGCGTGGCTTAGGTTTACGCCATGTGAGAGAATCTCAAGTACCTAAGGTTACACCTAGGGATACTAGTCTGCACCTGCATGCACTTTTACAACCTGCACGCGGTCTCAATCCGAGATATTACTCACAAGTTATCTAAACTTGGATGATACAGTAAAACTGACTAAGGTTACCCATATACTACAGCCGCACCATCGACTCGCTGAAGAAACAAATCGAGGCATGTTTTAAAACTAATGGGAGCTACTCCAAACTTTTTCGCAGTTCGTAAATGTTGGTACGGTGTTCTATAAAATTGATTACTTTCAAATTTGTGGACGATAAATGAAGAGTGGACGTGTTTTATGGCGCACGTAATTTTTCGCCACCCTGTAGTTGGTGCTCAAATTTACCACGAACTTCCCAAGCACAAGGTCGGTTCTGATATACAACACATTCATGATATTCCGGAAATTTCATCGAACTTCTGTTATCCACCTTGAAGGCAAGAATCAAGATCAAACTGATGAGGTGATTCTGCTTATATGTGAAAGCAGGGATGAGAGATGGACCGTCCGATGGAGAAAAAAAGGAAAGAAAATCCTGAAATACACAGGAAATACGAGCATTTTGCTCATGCTGTGGAGAAGTTCAAAAGACAGGCAGGGAGATGAGAGATAATGTGAGCGCGGAGAGCGGTAGAGAAGTCCGAGAAGAGAGAGCATATAGCAGATCAACGCAGCGACGCAGACAAGATATCGAACGGTGGGCGGACCATGTTAAGTTTGGTGGAGTCTGTTAGAAGTCCATGGCGCCTAGGGTCCTAGTGACGCGTTTCGATGTAGAAAGGTGGCGCTACCTTTGCACTTGCGTACCCAGCACTTCAACCATGGTAAACGGCTTCTTAGGAGGGTCTGCGCCCGAACTTTGCCTTTAAGCTCGATCAAGGAAGTAAGGCCGCTGCTTTGAGTTGAAGTGCCACCGCCCTTCGTCTATTTGTCAAAAAGGAAGGAAAGGCCTCATATTAGGAAGAAGACGAGGGCAAAGACCAAGGGCTCGCCTCTACTTCTGGAAAAAACATTCCAGGAATATTTTCCTGACAACTTCAATCAACAGTGACACCCTTGCAAACAAAAAATTTGATTGACGATAAGGAGCACGTGCAAAGCGTTTCCTTTTTGCTTCACTGTATTAGAACTCGAAAAAGGGCCTTGATGCGCTGATAATGAGTGCCAGCTTTTATAATTGAACAAGACGCATCACGAAGCATCACTGAGTGTCACTGTCATACCCTCATGTACCTACTATACCTAACTGTGTGTCTTAAACTTCGTTCCACACAGCCTTCATTTACGAAACATACAATTACCCAATCGAATTGTGCAGCCAAAAATTTTTTTTTTTTTTTTTTTTTTTTTTTTTTTTTTTTTTTTTTTTTTTTTTTTTTTTTTTTTTTTTTTTTTTTTTTTTTTTTTTTTTTTTTTTTTTTTTTTTTTTTTTTTTTTTTTTTTTTTTTTTTTTTTTTCTTTTTTTTTTTTTTTTTTTTTTTTTTTTTTTTTTTTTTTTTTTTTTTTTTTTTTTTTTTTTTTTTTTTTTTTTTTTTTTTTTTTTTTTTTTTTTTTTTTTTTTTTTTTTTTTTTTTTTTTTTTTTTTTTTTTTTTTTTTTTTTTTTTTTTTTTTTTTTTTTTTTTTTTTTTTTTTTTTTTTTTTTTTTTCTTTTTTTTTCTTTTTTTTTTTTTTTTTTTTCTTTTTTTTTTTTTTTTTTTTTTTTTTTTTTTTTTTTTTTTTTTTTTTTTTTTTTTTCTTTTTTTTTTTTTTTTTTCCTCAACCGATAAAACGTCTTCAAATGTATCTATAAATTCGATCTTTTAGAAACATTTAGTATAAAACATCAAAAAACGCAAAAAATACAATATGTACACAACGTATTTACATCAAAATTACAAAAATTCTAAAAAAGTAGGCATGTCGAAAGCAAACGGTGTACAAGATGAAGAACCAAAGTGCAATATACAAGAAGCAGTTAAAACGATGTGAAGAGATGAGGCACGAAACAAAAAAAAAAGCTCCCAAGAACATAAACCTAAAAATGGTGAAAATTTCAAGGGTAGCATGATCCGTCTCCAAATTACAAAACGTATAAACCACAGTGAGAAGAGAGCGCACAGCGCAGACTAGCTCTCTCAT